AAGTTGTCGTTAACAAACAAAATGTTTAATATGAAACTGTGACCGGACGTCGGACTGGCAGGGCAACGAACGGAAATATTAACGAATAGTATCAACTGGACGACCATTGGCCATCGCCCATCGGCATAATTCGCCATCGTTCGTCAGCACGTTGATAACAGCACCATCGGTGAGTAACGGATCAGTGTATTATTTAATTCAATATTTATTATTATTTTATAAAAATTCGGTGAGTATTATTTTAAAATTATCAATAACGATTAATAGGTAATACTTCGTCGAAAAAATTTAAAAAAAAATAACTATTAAAATGTCCAGTCGACAAGGCATAAAAATGTATGCTACTACAATGTCTTTGAATAATACGAATTCAAATACTTCATACGGCGGTAAACTGTTATCAATAGGGCGGGATTTCGAAACGAAGTGCATTATTTTTTGCCTCTAGTACCATTCCAACTTCCAAGTACATAATTTGTTTCATAAAACAGATACTTCAAAGGTGAAACTTTTACTTTCAATTTATTAACGTAAGTATTCCCTTTTTTTTAGCATATTTAGGTAATTTAAGTGTAAAAATGCCAGTAATTCTATTAATATTAATTGAGAAAAACCAAAAAAAAAAATAGAAAATTAGTTTTTAAAACTGTGTTGTTTCTATTGCCAAACGCACAAATGTATAATGATTTATAAATATCTATGCAGATGCGCCATGATTACAATGAATATAATTTATTTTCAAAGCATTTCAAAGGCAATTTCACAATTGTAAGGCGTTGCAGATAGGCCATTAAACGTACTTTTCTGTCGAAACTGTTATTGTTTTTCAAAAATGGAAAATTTTAAACAGCTTTCATGTAGAATTATACTAACCTAACCTAACCTTTTTTTTTATAGTGAACTTAGTGGCATAATTCTGGTTTGGCAACCTATCGATTTTTCAAATTTTTTTATTCCAAAATGTGTATTTTAGGGTACTTTATGAGATTGTAAAAAAAAAGCCCGGACAAACTTCGTTTTTAAATTATTGATAAAAAACTTCAAAAACTACATTTTTTTCGTTACCCGCATTTAAAAAAAAAAAAATACTTAGAATTGAATATTTTTAAATTTTTTTGTGGAAACCATTATTTTAGAAGTTATATCCAAGCTTGAGTTTTTACGTTTACACACATGAGAGCAACACTACTTGTATTTGGTGTTTTTTCGATTTTTTTGTCCGAGCGATATTCAATTCTAAGTATTTTTTTTAAAAAATGTGCGTTATGTACGAAAAAAATTTAGTTTTTGAAGTTTTTCATCAATAACATCAAAGCGAAGTTTGTAAATTATGCAATTAAACAATTTTTATGTAATCCTTTAGTCACGTGGACTGGTCGTGACACTATTGTTGATGGATATTCTGAGATGGCAAATGATCAAGTATATAAAATTATAAAATAACTAGATACCTATTACAGTTAGTTTTTATAATTTTGTATATTATAAAATCAATGTTATTATACTTATAAGTATACTTATAACTTATAAGTAATGTCCTGATTAGTGATTTGTAAGTTTTTACATATCACCACTGCATAATATGCTCTATGCAGTTTTAAAAAGGAAAAATATGGACGATTCGTTATGCGTCATGTCAAAAACGAATAACTGTAGAAATATGAAAATTTCACTGAATATTTATATTAGCATTTCCTATACACCATACAATTTTGAAAATATTTTGACTCTTTCTGAGCTGTTTATGGACATTTAAAGTTTTCAATTATTTTAGTTTTTTTTTCTATAAATATCAATAAAGTTTTATCGGTTTCGCCAAAAAGTGTAAAAATGTATTCCAAGGCTCCTGATATATTGTTACAATATCAGTTGAAAAATATTAAAAATACATAGGCACAATTTTTTTTTATAGTCATTTTAAGTTCAAATTTGGATGAAATTACATAAAAAAAACATAGAATAACTATTTTAGTTATTTTGTTTTGAGTGTATAATAATTAATATTATTCGTGGGTAGGTACTTGAAACTTCTAAAGTGTACTATTAAATATCTATGATTGTATCAGGGTTTGTTGTTGATGTATAAGATAACGCGTTATAAGTAGGTACCTAATGGATATTGTGATTGTGATATGATTAATTTGGAATTCATTATAGGTCAATTTTTTTTAATACCATAAATAAGTATATTGTATATAATATGTCTTATACCTAGAAGGACATACCATCTCCGCTCAGAATCGTTTTTCTTATACAATGATATTATATCATTGAATTCAAATTTAATATCATCCATTATACAGTGACCTACTTGTAACCTACTGTACAGCAGAGCACCTTTTTTTTGTTTGATCACAATTTATACTAATGTTTATCCTAGTAAACAAGATTTATTTTATAATGACAGGTGAGAATATTTTCATGCTTACTAACTTTTTATTTGTTTGTGTTGTTATTGGTCTTTAAAATTTCAACCAGAAGAAATTCTTCAATCATCATTAATGAGAGTGGTTTCTGGTAGAATTTTAAAGTTGGTGCATACTGCATTACGGCAATGGAGAAATATTTTTTTCATTTTTTTTTTTCATTAAGTTGTATTTTTATTTATAACAATTTGTATAGACATTTAAATTTTATAAATGTTTTTTCGATTTACTATCGATACACGGGCGATTTTGTATGTTTTTTTATCAAGTTTATAGGAATATGCTGGTGACTATTAGACAAATTTCTTTAAATTATCAACCATTACAGAACCTGTCTGGCTATCTAGAAAGCTATGTGCACTCTATATTTACTTTCATCATGTAGAGAATTTTCCTGGAATTTTGAATATGTACCTACCATAGATGTTTCACCTCTTTCCGGAACACAGTCGATAAAATTAAGACCACGAATTGTGAAAATGCGTCATACCACGGCCATTCGAAAAATAGTCCCGCGGGATGGTTATTCGCCTATTACTAAATAGACCAAAAGCTGATTAAGTTACTTTCAATTTAAAACTTATATTTACATTATGGTTAGTAAGTTAATAATTTTACGTTCTGTTTTTGTTAAAATGTCTTAGGTGTTTCACTTTTTCATAAGTTATAAAATTGTTAATGGTAAGAAATGAAATAAATTCATACATTACTATACTTATTCATAATTTTTCAAGATAGATCCAAAATCGCTCAGATGATTCTGGGAAGTATATAATTCAAAAGCCGTAAAGGATATGAAAAGGAGAGTCAAGACAATCATATAAAATTTGGTGGTGGAGGCAAAAGAATATTTAAGTGAAACTCCAGAAATTAGTCATTCCCGGGTTGATACAAATATTGTTGACCTAAAAAAACCTTGGGACAGTGATGCCATAGCACTTACAACTTACAAGAACCAAATTCATCAACATTTGAAAGCAAATTCATTCAAGCCCTCAGAATCCAATATGTATTATGTTTAGTTAGAATTAAAATATAACAATAGATACAACTTTTTATAGAATAATTTGTGCAAATAATATAAAAATGAAATATTTTCATAAGCTAAAAAAAAATATTTATTATTTGGTATTCACATTAGGTTATCATTTTTATGCAACATTTAAAGTTTTATATAATAAGTACACAAAAATCGGCTTGAAAAAAAATAATACATCAAAATTACATAACTTTACGTGTAGTGGCATACATTATAACCGTAATAATAACATAAATATAAATTAAATATTTTGTAGGTATAAATGTTAGTTAAAAAGTTTAATTTTATAAGTACCTATCTACCGAATGAAATATTCATAATACCTTTTTGTTTTTTTTTTACATTTTAACTTTACTTGCAAAAAGTAAATTTTCTTTAAATAACAATTAAAAGTACCTATGAGTTTATATACCTATGAGTTTATATACCTATAATTAAAAATAATTAAGATATGTAGCAATTTTATAAATGCTTATTACTTATATTAATTAATTTCATATTTTAAGTATATGGCCATTTTAGTATTTATCCTATATAAATGGATAAAAAAAAATGTTTATAAAATTAAATGAATTATATTTTGTATGATAACATTTGTTTTTGTCAGTCTGAGAAAATTTATGACGATCAAAGTACTGCAGTATCAGTCTCTGGGATACCTGTATTACAGGGTGTAATATCAGACATTGGCATAAAACGAAGAACAAGCACCATAAAACCACTAAATATTAAAATCCCACCATGCACTTTAATACCGATTACATATGAAGGTAAAGTAATGATGAAAAGAGAAGATAATGAAAGAAAAAAAAAGAAGATCAAAGAAAGATAAAAGAATTACGAGAAAAAACGAAAATAATTGAAGAATGGAAAGGACTTGAAAAAATAGTAGAAGAAGAAATTTAAATGAACAGAAACAATCGGAACCAAATGATAAACGAATATTTCGCCGATATGGAGAGCTTTTGTAGAAAAAATGAATTAACTATGACATTAGTTAAAAAAGAACCGATTGATGAATGTGATGATCACATTTTAGAAGAAAAAAATGAAGACATTTATATAAAAAATGAATCTAGCGAATGTAATGAATTTGGCAAAAATAATCCAATATACAATCAATATGAAGATAATGAACAAAATGAAATCAATGAAAATTGAAAACAATGTATGTTGTTATGAACTTAATAATGAATCTGTTCAAGTACAGGGACCCTCCCTGTGTCTACTAAACTACTAAATGTGTCTACTAAACTACGGCCACAAATAAAATCTCTCGGATCCCCCATCATATAGTGCAAGTTCAACTAGTATTGAGAATCCATCAATTATTAGTTATGAATATAAAAAAAAAACTATGAATACAGATGATAATATTAAACGGAATACCACTTCAAACACATTATATGATAATAAGAACAGTAGAGATATAAACATATGATTCTTGAAGCTTTTCTTCAACCTTTAGTCCCCTTGTCTTAGTGATCATCTTAACTTCAGTTGAATTTGTTTCTATTTCTTTAGAGGTTTTTCCTTCAGATCCCATACAATTCCTTATTTCCGCGTTCTCTTAGATTAAATGTTTCAAAATCATCATTTGTAGGCGCTTTTCTACTTTCAATCAATTCTCGTTCTATATTTGTATCATTTTCTACATGCTCATTGATTCTCTTAAAATGTACAGGACGAACAACTACATAATTCTTTACCAAATCGGGTTGCTCAAATGATCGATTATTTCCTGGTTCTTTCACTTTCTTCAAAGTAGATCTCTTATCTAATGATTTTATTTCTGTTTCTTCAACAGCAATATTTTTTCTTAATTCGGCTTCCTTAAGTTTTTTTGTTTCAACTTCTTTAGCTATTTTGGATTGTCGCTCAATGGATTGTCTTTGGAACCTTCCCTGTACTTGAACAGATTCATTATTAAGTTCATAACAACATACGTTGTTTTCATTGATTTCATTATATTCATTATCTTCATATTGATTATACATTGGATTATTTTTGCCAAATTCATTACATTCGCTATATTCATTTTTAATGTCTTGTTCGTTTTTGATTTTTCTTCTAAAATGTGATCATCACATTCATCAATCGGTTCTTTTTTAACTAATGTCATAGTTAATTCATTTTTTCTACAAAAGCTCTCCATATCGGCGAAATATTCGTTTATCATTTGGTTCCGATTGTTTCTGTTCATTTAAATTTCTTCTTCTACTATTTTCTCAAGTCCTTTCCATTCTTCAATTATTTTCGTTTTTTCTCGTAATTCTTTTATCTTTCTTGGATCTTTTTTTTTTTTTTCTTTCATTATTTTCTCTTTCCGTCATTACTTTACCTTCATATGTGATAACTGATAGGTGCTAAAGTGATGCATGGTGGAATTTTAATATTTAGTGGTTTTATGTGACTTGTTCCTCATTTTATGCCAATGTCTGATATTACACCCTGTAATACAGGTATTCCAGAGACTGATACTGTAGTGCTTTGATCGTCATAAATTTTCTCAGACTGACAAAAACTCTCTTTCAAATTATTTACTCCTTGGTTTGTAGTCTTTGATTCTTTAGTATCTTTAATGTCTTTTGAAGTAAATGACTTTTGTCGTACTCTAGTGATCTGAGCAAAGGTATCAATAGCTCCAATAGTTGAATCACTTTCACTTACAGAAGAATCACCCTTATCCATTGTTGGTCTATCATCTATGTTAATGTTTATATCATCATCAATGACTACATCGGCAGGAAATGAACACCTACACATCCTTTTCCAATTGTATAGACTTGAAAACCAATTGAGGTCAAGATTTCATCGTTCAGAATCTTGCAACCATCAAAAATAAATGCTGGCTTCATCACACGATCGTACATAACTTCATAATCCAAGTTCTAGAACATAACAATAGTAATTGGTTGATTACAAAAAACTATTAGTAGAGTAAAGAAGTAGACCATTTGTTATAATATTTTTCATTGGAAATAAAAGAGTACTGTTCACTAAACCATTAGAAATTAAGTATTTTTCTTCAAGTTAGGATCAATAGTCAGAAAGAATCAATTACGTGAATTATAAATATTTAATACTAATTTTAAAACGGAAGTATGATTATATGTATAATATAAGATATGCAAATATAATTTAATGCAGTAGGTAAATATCCTATATAAATGGATAAAAAAAATTATTATAAAATTAAATGGTTTATATTTTGTATGATAACATTCTCATTAAATCGAGTAAATTTGTAGATTTTATACTTTTTAACTTTAAATATATGTGAAACTAATTAGATCAGTTGGTTGTAAATAAAATAATTATTTCATAAGAAATTACCACAAATTCATCCCATCCAGTGCATATTCATCCAGCCTGTGTCATGTCTGCAGCTAAGTATGGATTGTTGTGAATTTTAATAGACCTTATTACGTTTTCTGGAGTATCAATAACGTAAGGATAATCAATGAGATCTTTTTTTATCTGCTCTGGTTCCACCTGAGATCAGTGATTTAATTTAATAAACATAAAATTATGTACCAATAATATAATATTATAAATTATCCAACAAACAATTTAATGAAACCTAGGTATTTTATTACAACATCCTGTTCAATTTATTTTAAAAACAAATTCAAATCATAGGTTTGAAAATACATGTTCAAAATTATTAACAATTCATTTTATTTGTTGTCTAATAATTTGTTGTGTTATTGCAGAAGACGTTAGGACGAGACCTGTTGCACGTTGCCGAGCAGTACCAGACGTTCCGCGATCGCCGCCATCATTTGCAGTAAGTAGGTTACTCATCTACTGTCAAAGTCGTAAGCGATTTGAACACCCCTTAACATGGAAAACAGTATCAAGAGACCATTAGAAGATGGATGTCAATATCCGCACACAGAAATAAAGAAACCTAACTCGGCTCGGGTCACAACAACAATATCAAAACCTAAATCCTCGAAGAAAATTATTGGTTTCCAAGATTTATCCGATGAGATTATCTTGTATTTATTTAAATATCTATCACATGATAATCTTGCCAAGATGGCACTGATATGCCCTAACTTGTTCAGAGTTAGTCGTGATTTTACTCTATGGAAAACACCTAGATTCAAAAAGTTTGAAAAATCTATGGAAGACGTATACTTGAGATACTTAAATGAGGATACCACTGAATTGTTTATATCGTGTAATGATGTTCCAAGCCATGATTATTCAATTTCTCAAAATTTCTTAATAAAATTGAAAACAAAATGCCTAGAATTACTCCATTTAACATTTACAAATCAAGTATTTGATGAAATAAATGTAAATATTTTGCATTCAAAATTAAAAACGCTGACAATTGATAGTTCAACTATTGAAAACGTTCCAGCCAACACTTCATTCTTAATCAGTATAAACGATACTTGCCCAGATCTAGAGCGACTTATAATTACAAACAATGATTGGTTTTTGCCTCAATATTTATATGCATTGTCCAAGCTAGAACGTTTAAACTACTTAAGTCTCGCAGGTTGCAAGCAGTTTAAGGACTGTGTTCCGTATGCAAGTATTACTACTATAACTGGATTCGATTTTTTACAGACACTTGATTTGCGTTTTACTCCAGTAAGTGATAGGGAACTTACTTGCTTTCAAAGATTAAGAGCTTTGAAACATTGTCTTTTGGAAAGCCCTGAGTATCTGAATCATGAGAGAGATGAAACAATTACTGATGTGGGTGTGGTAACATTCTGTACTGATCATTTTGAATTCAACTATCCGTACATACGCATTTTGTTTGATCTGCTTGGAAGAAATTTTGAATGTTGCCGTATTGAAACCTTATATGTCCGCAATTATCCAAAAGTCACAATTTTCAGATCAATTTTTGAAGATTGCTGCCATAGATTATCCATACCTGAAATTATTAGACATTAAAGGATCAGGTTGCACTTCAGCAGAAATTGAAATTTATAAAGCAAATAGACCTAGTACGAAGGTAATATACTGAAAAGACTAAAAAATAAAAAATAAGTTGACATAAGGTATTATTACGATATGTATGGAAATGAGATGAGGTGAAAGGGATGTAAGACATGTCCAATCCTTATATATTTTGTGTTATATAAAACTTATAACTAATTCTACAGTATATTTATATTAATGAACCAGTTTAAAATTAAATGTATTGATGTTTGTAAATAATTTATTCTTTCTATTTGTCATCTTATTACCTATTATTCATAAAAAGAGTTTAAACTTAAATATAAAGTTCAGAAAAATATAATTTAATTAATTAATAATTATGATTTAATTTATAATTGTGATTTGTAGATAGAAAGCACGCAGTTATACAAGTTAATACGTTATGTATTATAATATAACTATTAAACATAAGTTCAAATAAATGAGATATAATTATTCATATTTTTTATAAAAATTTTAATGAGATCAAACAATTTATGGGTTTTTAGGAATAAAGATCCATTTTAATTATGAATAAGAATGAGATCTCTAGTCGTATAGATACTGTGAATAATGAAAATAATAAAGAACCATAAGTATTTTATATTGATCATTAGGAAAAAAACAGCATCTTCATCGAATGTTGTTATTAATGTTGGGAATTTTTTTGAATTTTATGAAGGAACTTAATTTCTATTATAATTTGTTTTTTGTTTCATGTACATATTATATTATATACTAATTACTAAGTTTAAGTATTGTAAGTAAATCTTTAGATATATTATAGGACAATTATTATTGTTAATTTCTTTAATTCCAACAATACAAAATATCTGTTTTGTGTAATCTTTTGGGTTTTCTCAAATATAAAAAGGTAAAAGTGTGCAATAATGTTGTGCTTTTTTCAGGTAAAATGGTAAAAAGTATGCAATCATGTTATGCCCTTATAAAATATCCTAATAGTATCATTCGCCCCGCCCGTTATAAGAATCGTTTTCAAATCATTAAACTTAAATGTATACACACCCATTGCAGTGACCTACTCAATGACGTGTCACATCTGGTATAATAATTATACAATAAAAAGCAGGGTATTATACACCTAATCATATTGTTTTAGCAGGTAAAGGTAGACGATACTTACTTTGACTTCTCCAGATGTCTTTGTAGGGGTATCAACAGAAATGAAAATTAAATCTGCTTCTTGGATAGCTTCTTCGATGTTTGTAGAAAAGAACAAGTTTACATTTATTCGTTTTTTTACAATGTTGTCGAGTCCTGCCTAAAAATTAAATTATATGTTGAGTATATAATTGTATAAATATAAAAAATGTAAAATATGATTTAATTTTTTATAAAATCACTTCGTAGATGGGTAATTTTTCTGAGTTCCACTGGGAAATACGATGAACACTTTTGTCTACAACCGTGACTTTTATGTGTGGACACTGCATTGCTATTATACTGCATGACGTGGGCCCACCAATATATCCAGCGCCTATACAGCATATTTTTGTGATCGCCATAGTATCTCCAGCAGCTTATGAAAACCTGTTGAACTTAAAACAATTGTCTTAAATTAAAACATGAATACTCATTCTTCATAAAAAATATTATACATATAGGTAATAAAATATAGAAATGTTAAAATGTTCGATAAAATGCGAAATAGTAACTTAGTTTAATGGCACTTTTAATATATTAAAATTGTTGTAAATTTTAAGTTGTGCAACATAAAGTATGACAAAATATAAAAATATGACTTATAAACAGTGTTTAACTTAGTAAAAGTTTTACCCCTGAATACCGCTTTGCTAAGCAAAAACTTAAACCTACACCCAGTGGCGTGCCGAACTGACAAGCAGACCTGAGGCAAACTATACAATTTGATCCCCCTCCCCACCACCAACAGTTTTTTCACTATTTTTTTTATTATTCAAAATAATAAATATTATTAAGTTTTTTTAGGTATAAGTTGCACATCTATACTAACACACCCTCCCACCTACCCGAACTTTCCCTGAGGCAATTGCCTCAAAAAATTACTATTCAGCACGCCTCTGCCTACACCTATGCCTATTGCCTAAAAGTTTGATGTTTGTATCTACGGTTTGTATAGTCAGTGTAGAAACAATTAAAATAAATAGTATAATGTATGCAACAAGCTATAACAACCTTGCCGTTTGAGTTAAAATCCATGTGACCGGCGCGCGCAGCGCAGCGATGCCACCGCTAGAGGTTCGACATCGACGAGGCAGTAGTTGCCGGTGTTGCCTATGTTAATGCATGGGAGGTGGTATACGGGTGTGCGGGGTAAACACATACAATATTATTGTGAATGGCGCATGCGCAAAACGCCAGCCAAAGCATTAAAATATACTGCCACAGGTCGCCGGGTACATTGTATATAGCCACTCTACTATATAGCTAGTTGGGGGCCGGGGGGGGACATCTCGTACAGTGCTTAGCAAGTCAATTATTTGATAATAACTGGAACCGCCGAAATAGTCTATTCTTAGAATACTGGAATTAATTCTGGAAATCAGATGTCTTGTTAAAGTAACCACCAAACTAAACGCTATTAAAAGTTCCACCGACCGATAGATTAACAGCTCGCTAAAAAGGAAAGAAGAAACAATACTAAACCACGTGGGTATCGGTCATACGAGATTAACACACGGATAGGTACCTAATGTAGCTGCATAGTGCATATATTTAAAACTGCATATTATTTCGATCATTTTTGTGCAACAATTAGTCCCGAACTCTACTCATATATATGTATATTTATAATATTATACAGTCACTTATTTTTTAGACCACCCCCACACAAAAAATTGAAAATGCGCCACATAACAATCATAATAGGTATTGATAAATAATGACATATCTAAATGTATCACGTGGTTTACCCTCCCCGAAGTATGCGATATTATTGTTCATAAGGGTACTATAAAACTCAATATCGATCTCTAGCTTTTCGAGAAAAGTCGTCGTCAGACGGCTCGGACCCCAGAATGCTGATATGCAGACGTAAAAATAATTATTATATTCGGACAAATCATATTACCTTGAACGTGGTAGCGTCGCTTTCGGACGGTGATAAGCAGCCGGCGTGTAGCAACAGAAGAGCAACAGGGCAGACGGTGCAATTATCGTTGTACGGCGCTATAGTCTGTTCATTTTAAGAAGCGATTCGGCGGCCACTAGTAAAACCGGTTTTCAAGCGTAAATCAGGTCGCTTCTTATTTTGAACAGGGTATAGTGACTGTGAGTGCTTGTGTATGTGTGAGATGTCTCACAACATACACAAGCACTCACAGTCGGACATGGTAACGCAAAATGATCGTCGATCGAGATTCGACGGCGGCAGCTGTGGCCTGTGACTAGGTCGAAGCGGGGTAGAACCGAGTCGGTGATCCACGAGCTGACCCGACGGCTACGCCATGTTGATTTTTGTGGTTGTGGTGGGTTTGTTTTTTTTTTTTCCTCGCCATGAAATTTCGGGAAAAGTACCCCTATCCCCTAACCTACTGTTCTATCTTCTATGATCCCGTCTGCGACACCGAACTATAGTCATATGGGACTAAGGGAGGCGCAACAGAACAAGGGATGCGGATACCTAGGCTGTACTCTAAAGGCGGGTTTCCACGGACATCCACGGATGCGAGTACGTGCATACAATTCATCTGCTGTGATTGGTTTGTTTACGATCAGTTACCACACGGTTAACCATGATACCGTGTTGTTGGACATAGACATAGACACACTGCGAAAATATACAACTATACTCGGGCCACCGAGAGGGCCCTAGTGCCGTACTCGTTGGCGCATCCAAATGAACGAGATCCGCGTTTTCGTATCCATATTTCTCTCACTCTACCCTATAGTTGTAGCAACTACGGTGGTGGCGGCCAGAGTTGACGGCAGACAGCGTACTGGCAGATGCGCAAGATCGGACGAGTTTTGCCCAGTAGCGGTCTCTCGGTGACCCGAGTTCTACGAAATAATAACCACAGTTGTAGATATACAAATGGGCACAATTTGAGGGTGACTTAAAGCCTAAAGGGGCTTAGCTTCTCCAAAATTAGTATTTTAATTGAAGTATTAAATCCTTCATTAGTTATCTAATCTACATAATCCAGAAAACGATGCTTGGAGATATTATTTACTAAAGTTTAAACAACTATTCATTATTGGAGTGTTTTCCATAGTAGATATCGGATCCATACTCACAGAACATAATAATATAGGTTTAATAACAGTATTGAAATTTACAAACTGTATTAATATGGGCACTCAGTTCGGTTTATGTGGGCAATTTTTATTTTATCATAGCGTATTAGAATATACACATGTGTATTTAAAAACAACTAATTTATCGGATTTAATAGGTTCTATAAGATTGCGTTTATCAAAAGTAATAAAAAACATTATATATTTAAAGCCTTAATGGGATTTTGTTGACTAAATGTATGTGTTTAAGTGTTATCAGAAGCGATAAAAATAAAGCGATAGACAGCATTTCTTACTCCTTCAAGGAAAAAATTAAAGTTAAATCAATATTAAATCGCTTCTACCAGGCACTTAATAACATAAAATCGCTGAAAAATGATGCGTTATTTTATTTTGTATGTTATATTTAGTTATATAGGTAGCAATTTAACATTTTTTTCAACTATATGATTCACGTGTTCAAAATAGAAATTTTTTTGATATCATATATAATTTTTTTTTTGAACTAATTTCGGTTTTATGGGCAACCGTTTACTGTGGGCAAACAGCATTGGTCCCAATGTATCCTATTTAATTATAACCTAACCTATACCTATTCGACGTCAGATGACGCATTAAAAAGAAAAAGTATCCTCAGCCCACTGGTACGTTAATCGCAGGTACACATTTCGACTGTGTTAAATGATCCGAAAAAAAAGAACGACAATAATTTCCTGGGTAAATCGTTAATGGTTTTGGCATCGTCTGGTCGGATATGCTTATTTACTGTATATTATTATTGTACAATAATGTCTGGATAATTACATTACAATTGTATTGTCGCCACCGCTTGACAAGGGTACACATGCACTATGGACATGTCTGAATTCTTCTACTTATCGTGTCACTGCCATCACGCTGGATAGGATAGTGTCCTGCTGTTCGTACTTAAACGACGCCTAAAAGCGCATACGCATCAGTAAAATGTAGTCGAATAACATTATTTATTATAATAATTATTAAAATGGGTATAATAATCGTCACCGATAACTTTATTGTAAAATATAAAAAAATATCGTAGTTTTCGTTTCACAGTTCCAATAATCCAGCGCCACGGTCGTGAATATAAGAAGCACAAGCATATTTTTATAAAAGAATATTTTATTTTTTCTGAATCATTAAATAAAAATGTGATTATTGGTTTTTAGAGTTAACGGTATAAAGGTATACAGTAAATAAATCAAATTTACAGTATACCAACTAGATATTTTGTAAAATTCCAAGCCAACATTTTTTTCCGAATACTTCCAAGCATGAAATTAATAATAATAATTTAACATGTTAATATTCTAATAATTGTATTGGATATATTTTATATTTTTGTGAGTGGTGAGTATAATCTGTGTTATAATATTTTCATGTGGCGTACTACACAAGTGTAATATATGTACAGCGGCAGAGAAGCAACTATATAAATTCAAGGTTAACAACTCGGCTAAACCGGTTTTTGTAGGGAGCATACAGTCAATGTTCGAAATTCCTCTAAAGAGACAACTGTCCGAACACCTGCCGTGCCACCGGCCTCCGACTGTGTTTCAGAAGGGGATGCACAACATTCTTGTATTTGAGAGAATAATAATCCCATACGACAGGGATGGCAACATATTTTTTGGTCACGATTTACTAAAATATACTTGAATACTTCACCTTTGGGGATCGACTTTTATAAAACAATTTTTTTATTATTAAATAACCATAATTATTAAGAAACATACTTGCATAAAGTGTATATAAACATACAATAAGTATTATAAACTAATTACTAATTACCAAAAATAATATAATATTAAATAATAATTTCTAAAATCGAATTACTTAAGTTTATTTAAAATATTATTTTGTTGATCTGGGCATTGTTAGAGTGTGGCATTGCATGCCGTTGCCCAATAATTTGTCAATATACTCATCCTTATAAAATTTAAAGAACTTAAATACGTTATTATTAATTTAATAGAATATGTTGATACTGAATGAATACAGTAAAATGAACATGCGTGAACGATAAACATTTGACATACGAAACCAGATTAAAAGGTCAAAATTATACAGATAATCGTACCTATAGTATACGAGTTCCAATTTACTGGCTTGAGTTTTACTCAGAGAATAATAAGTTTGAACACATATTATATAAATGTTTCTCGCATGCACCATGGTTACCATCCGTACTTTTTTGAAAGTATTATCAGAGACGTATTCAGAAATTTGGCGCCCGGGTGCCAATATTTTTCCGCCCCCCCTCCACAAAAAA